TTGTAAGGGTAATACCAGTTTTTAAATCTGGAGATGATACTAATATCACAAACTATAAACCTATTTCCATACTTCCTTGCTTCTCGAAAATACTAGAACGCATTTTGTATAACAAATTATACTCATTTTTAGAAAAAAATAATATTCTTTACAACAAACAACTTGGCTTCAAAACAGGGTACTGATCATACTGATCATGCTATTCTTCATCTCATTCAAATTATTTTTCAAGATTTTGACAAAAACAAGTTCACTTAAGGTATTTTCATAGATCTTAGTAAGGCATTCGACACTGTTGATCAAAGTATTTTAATTAAAAAATTAGAAAACTATGAAATCAAAAATATAAACATAGCTTGGTTCAAAAGCTACTTATCTAATAGAAAACAATATATTTCATTTGCCAATGAAAAAACTAACAGTATGACAATTACTTGCGGCGTTCCTCAAAGATCTATATTAGGATCACTTTTATTTTTAATCTATATTAATTATTTAAGCAAAGCTTCTAATATTCTAGATTCTATATTTCTAATGAAACAAATTTATTTTATTCCCATAGTGATTTAACAACATTATTTAAAACGGTCAACATTGAACTTCTAAAACTAACTGAATGGTTAGTAAACTTTCAATTAATTTAACTAAAACCAAATATACTATCTTTCATCGCCTCCATAAAAAAGATAAAATCCCTGTTACACTTCAAAAACTTATTATTGGAGAATACAACGTTAAAAGAGAATGTTCAATGAAATTTCTAGGCGTAATACTAGATGAAAACATAAATTGGAAAGATAAAATAAACATGATTAAAAATGAAATTTCTAAAAATATAGGATTACTCTATAAAGCAAAATCATACTTAGATCAATCATGTTTGCAAATACATATATTACTCATTTATTCATTCCTATCTTAATTATGCAAGCATTGCTTGGTGCAGCACCAATAAAACAAAGACAAAAAAGCTATTTAGCAAACAAAAACATGCAATCAGATTATTATCAAATGCAGACCGCCTCTCACATTCTAGACCATTGTTCAACAATCTAGAAATATTAAATTTGTACCAATTAAATATATATCATCTGCTAATTTTTATATATAAAACTAATAATGATACAATACCAAATATCTTCAAACCATTATTTAATAAAATTCAACACAAATACATGACTAAATATTCAAATAACAACTTTGTTCAGCCCAAAATTATATGTGAGTCCACCAAGTTCTCAATAAATATTAGAGGACCTAATGTATGGAATAAGTTAATTAGTAATGATATTAAAACATTTACAACTCTTGAACAGTTTAAACAAAAGCTAAAACTATTGCTTTTAAATAACAATTATTTTTTTTATCTATTTTTAAAAATATTATATTTGAAAATTATCTATTAGTGCATACTTTATTTGTCTGGAAAGGAACAAAGTCTTTAATTATATATACATTACTGTCAATTATATTATGAAAAAGTAATTATGAACTTACAGCATTTATGTACGAATGTGTGTGTGTATGTGTATATGTGTGCGTGCGCAAATGTGTATATGTATACATATATACATACATGTATATGTGTATGTGTATATATATCTTTTGATTGTAAATTAACATTATGTTTCCATTTTTTCATATTTTCTTTTTTTTTTTTTTTTTTTTTTGTTGTTGCTTTTGATTTTTGTTTTCTTAAATGAATTATTAAATTTTCTTTCAATGAATAACTTTGAATATAAATACCATTGCATTACCGTAGTTAACCTTCATGTTATTGAGAACTTTTTAATTAATTAAAAATAATTTTTAAACATTAAAAATAACTTTGAAAGACTCTATTAAACTGTTTTGCATTTTGTATAAACTTCTTTGAAACATTTTACTTTTTTCTCTCATTTTTAATTTTTGATATTAGTTACAACGTATTTATATAAATATCTTGAAAAAACAAGGGACTTGGAGATAATGGAAACCTGTCTTCTTCTCGTCTTTGCCATTTTTATATATAATATTTCTCTTCTATGTGAGACAATATGGATAAATAAGTATAAAAGTATTCAAGTCTTTTGTAGTTAGTTTAATATATTTTCATCTGAAAGAATTTTCATTGTATGCAAATGGAATTGTACAACAAATGTACATCAACTTTGTAGATTATCAAAGTCCAGCACATATTACTTTGCAGTACTAAGTCATACTTAAACCAGTTTTTCAGGCTCTTCAAGCTGATTAAGTTGATCTTCCAGAATTCCAATAGTAAGTTCAAAAACTACTCAGTAAAGTAAAACTTCAAAGTAAGTCTAGTAACTATTTCAGGGATGTTTTGTTAAAACAATTCAACTCGCGCAGAAAATAATAATAAATAGATAATTCTAAGCAATGCAAAAAAAAAAAAGCATTGAAGTAATCTGGGAAACATAAGTGTTGAGGTTGTTCTTCAGACAAACAATTTACATTTCATATTAAAATTCTTTTAACCAAATGGAAATAGTGAGATGAAGACGGTTACTTGAGTATAGGGTACGTGATAAGATCGCCCGAAGTACAATTTCCTTTAATGGCTGTGATTCAGAGAAATAAAGGCAATAAAATATGACCTATTTTGGATTGGAGAGAAGTTAACAATTTCATTGAGTTGAATACATAAGAAGAAGGTGCGTGCGTTAATAAGTTGAAAAAATGGAGAAGAATGAAAAACAAACCACCAATCATGGTTCTAGGCAAGGCTTTTTTCCATTTGAAAACTGAGGAATACCTTCAGCCGTTTCAAACTGTATTATTTGACAACAAAAGCTATTTTTTAGCATAACTTGGTTATTAATTGAATGTTGCGCCATTAATTATAATTCGCTGTGAACGCCATTATTGACCGAGATGATTTAGTGAAGAATGGAACATCCGCTTACGTGGATGACATCTTTATTGATAAAAATGTGGCGAGTCTCGATTATGGCAAGAAACAATTTAAAAAAAATATGGTTTAGAGAGCAAAAAAGGTAAAAAGACTGGCAATAATAAAGTCCATGTGACACGATTATGTAAGCGAAAAATTGGTGACAAACTGATGTGGTCTATTAGGAATCGAGTTGAAAAAATCCCAAAAATGTTAACCATGAGAGTAGTATTTTCAGTCTTTGGACTATGGGTGAATCATTTTCCAGTGTTTGATCAATAAAAGTTGTTTGTAGTCTTTTGAAAAGAAGAGTTGTTAATTTGAAGAAGAGTTGCGACAAACAAGTTTGTAATGAGAATGTAAAATGTGTTGTTCGGGTAACACGGAAAGTCTGTGCTGAAGTTAAAAGGTTATGAACTAATATACTATATACAGTTTATGTACTAATTTTTTTTTTACAGTTATGACTGTAAAAAACAAAAATAACTTCAATTTTTTTTAAAGATAAAATATTCTGATGTTTACAACTCTTTAAGAAATAATAGTATTTGTATTCAAGGTACTTCAAAATTATACAATCATTTACAAACATTCTTTAGGTCGTTCTTTAACCAGGAAAATGACAGTGTTGAAAGATCAGCACTAGAACATGTTTGCCATCATAATTACGCTTAAATATCTCTAAAGGCGCAAAATCTATATTTAAATAGTTATGAATGGCTAGATTTTAATTTAATTAACTATAATGCTGCTAAAATAATTATACCTTATACAAATTCTTTATTTCTTCAAGCACTGGTCAGTAACTAATTTTTAAAATTCAAAAAAGTACATGTCAAACCAGTTATTATTTTCTGAAAGGAAGCATTTTCATTGATGCTAAATTCAAATGTGATCAAAGCTGTACTCAACCGCATAAAAAATGTTGCTGTCGCTAAACAGTGCAAACTGCATCCTGCATATAACAATATAAAATAACATTGTGAAATCTTTTTGCTACCCCAATGACATGATTTTTGATTGACTATACTGCAAGCATGTTAATGTAACATTTATGTCACTATATACTACAAAGGTTTTGTGAAGTTCATATAATGTTGATATTGTTCCTCTCTTTATATTTTGATATTCACGTTATCAACAACAGATTACGTAAATATTTTATAAATAAAATATGGTAAATGAAACTGTTGTTTTCTAATAATATCAAATTGTTAATGCGCCAAAAATCATCTAGCCATGGGCGTCAAAAATCCTCTAGCCATGGGCGTCAAAAACCTTGTTATGGGTCTGCTCAACCCATTAATAAAACATTGACAAAGTTATAAAACTTCCGTATTTACCCGAAAACTACTATATAAATTACATGCGCTTCATGCAGAATGTATCTCATCTTTTGAGAAATTTCATTTATTTTTTTTACTCAAAATATGATTTTACAATTAGATTTTTTTGTTAACTATCCAAAATGTGGAGAATTAGGAAAAGGTTGGTAATGCTCTGATATGATAAAACTATTCGTATTACGTGTCCCAGAGTTTTTTATAAGGTCTAAATTTACGACGTAAGTAATAAAATATCTATTTTTGTTAATAGGTAGACCTACTCAAGGAAAAAGATTAAGAAGATAAATCCAATTTTTAGTTTTTAATTTTTTTTCCTAAATTCATTTTTATTTGATTTTTTTAAAGGTTTTGCAATAAATATAAGCTCGATATTAGTTTTTTTTGGTTGGCATAATTAAAGTGTACATTTCTAACGCATCTTGTCTGAATAGGCAATTTTAAAAAATCGACTATCAGCTTATATTCGATAAAAATAGTGTTTTTGTTTTGTTTTCAGATAAATTTAGTAAAATAAGCCATTCAATCCAAATAAATCTTAATTTTGTTTATTATTATGCTTGTGGATTATAATTTTTTCATAAAAAATAAAACTAACGTCTTGTTAGGAGAGCAACGTCTCATTTATAAGTAAAAACAAGTAATTTAAAAACTGTATTCACTATCAAAAAAATATATCAGTCTTATTTCTTTAATTATAAACTTTTATTTTTTTATATGAACACACACAAACACACACACATATGTATATATATATTTACCTTCAACTAAATGTGTTAAACAAAATATAGCCAGTAAGAAAGTTAACATTTCTAAACAATAATGCTATATAATTATTAAAATACATAGATACATATAAATGGAATTTAAAAAATTAAAGTTCATCTTTAAGATTTTATATTTTGGCGATATATATTTAGAATTGACATTTCACCGAAAAGCGGATAGTAGTAAATTCCGGTGTTGAATTTCATTTTCTACATTTTTTGATAAATAACTTTCTAATATATGTTTATGTTTCAAAAGTGTTTTTAATTTTTCTTTTCCACATAAAAAGTTTTTCATTGTTAATATAACTAAAAGCATAATGTTTTTTTTTCTTTTTTTTTACCATAAAAGTTTAATGTTTTCTTTTTATAAATTAAATCACATGTAAAAAATATGAGTGTATATCTGGTTTAGTATGTAGATGCATTTATTTGAGGAGCTTTTATTCCTATGTCATCATGATAATGTCACTTGATGTCCGAAAACGTAAAACTAAGTAAATAAATAAATAAACACAAGTATAAATATATGTTAAAATCTAGATGTTATATTTACCTTTAAAATTGAATTGTTGTTAATTAAAAACCATGAGTTTCTTTTATAATCAATCCATAGATTTCAAAAGCAAAGCCGCCGCAAGTTTGTTGTTTTAAAATGTGTATAATAGCCGACGCTTTGATATAAGTAAGATTTATCAAATTAACATTTACCAAAATATTTTGTTTATGCTCAAATTTAAATTAGGTTAAGTACTAAACCATTTTTTAAATAACTTTTTTATAAATAACGTTAATAAATATAACACAAGAAAAACAGGAAACTTTATTACAAAAAAAAAAAAACTTTCCTAGTTCTCAATTTTATATTGAAGTATTTATTTATACAACAAACTAGTAACTAAAAATAAATCAATTTGCAATCCAAATAATCAAAATTCCCTGGAAGTAAAATTAAAAAATCTGATACTGAATCTAAACAGATACTCTGAATTCTTCTAAGATTATAAATTAAATTAAATATATATCACCTACAAACTGAACTAACTCGTTTATGTGTATTATCTAAATCACTCTTACCTTTCTCAAACAATATATCAAAAAATTGTTTATTACACACACAAAAAAAACACTAAATTTTTTCTTGCAACTTTTAGTTATTATACTGCTTGTTATGTTTAATTTTTTTATACTGAGCTTACTCTGAGTTTATTTTTTATTATGACCTTAATTTTTTTTTTTTTTAATTATCTTTGCTTCCAACAAGGTTGCAAGCAACCACTAATTAGTGTTGGAAGTTACTGGAAGAGAAAGATGAAGATTGTAGAGCAAGATAACGATTGACAGACGACTTAAAATATTGCAAACTATATGAATCAGGAAAGCAAGATGAAGGAAGCGAATTCCAAAGAACTGATGTTCGAGGAAAAAAACTAGAGGAATAAGAGTTTTTGGAGCACTTAGGAACAGTAACAGAAAAAGGATGAGACTTAATTGAATGACGAGTAACACAAGAATGTATTTTAGTAGATGGTACAAGAGACGCTAGCTCTTTAGAGCAGTGCCCATAATAGTATTTGTAGAAAAGAGAAAGAGAAGCAACATTACGACGATGTGACAGAGGTTGAAGGTTGGCTGCAAGAGCAGGTCCAACTATGTTTACAATGCGTTTTTGCACCTTGTCTAAAAGAGAAAGGGCATCATAAGAAGATCCGCCCCAGATATGGCAACAGTATTCCATACAAGGCCGGATTTGAAATTTATAGAGATAGAGAATAGAATCCAGTGTAAGAAAGTGACGAGCTCGATAAAGAGAAGCAACTTTAGCAGATGCTAATTTTGCAACGGATTCGATATAAGGTTTCCAAGAAAGATCAGAAGTAAGAGTTAATCCTAGAAGATGAAGGGTAGGAGACTCATTGAGTACATTACCGTTCATAAATATAATAAGGTCTAAATTATTGCGATAACGATAGGCCGAAAAAAATTGAGTTTTATCTAAACTAAAGTTCACCAGCCACTGCGAGCCCCATGCTGTAGCAGAAGTGAGATCCTTTTCGAGCTCAGATGCCCCCTGCAAGCAATCAGAGGGAGTTGGCTTCTTATCTTGACAAGAATAAATGGTAGTATTATCAGCGAACAATGCCACCTTAGATGTGAGAATATCTGGAAAATCGTTAATGTAAATTAAAAAGAGTATAGGGCCAAGGATTGAACCTTGGGGAACCCCTGAGGTTACAGAATAAGAAGAAGAGTGCTGTCCATCAAAGACAACTTTTATACTACGATTGGAAAGGAAGGATTCAATAATCTTAAAGATGTTTCCAAATACACCATAAGAAGAAAGCTTATGGAGGAGACCACCATGCCAAACTTTATCAAACGCTTTAGAAATGTCAAGAGCAATGGCCTTAACCTCTCCACCTTTATCTAATGCGCGATAAAACCTATCGGTTATTACTGATAGCAAATCAGCTGTAGAACGAGAAGATCGAAATCCATACTGATGATCAGAAAGTAGGTTATGAGATTCGAGATGAGAGATTAAGTGTTTGTTAATTAAAGATTCAAAAATCTTGCTTATGGTAGGAAGAAGACTAATGGGACGGTAGTTAGATGAGTCAAATTGCTCTCCAGAATTTTTAAAAATAAGGATAACAGATGCTGCTTTCCAGCAGGCTGGAAAACAAGACTCTGATAAGCACTTGTTGAATAGTTTTGAAAAGATAGACGACAGCTCAGGAGAACACTTCTGCAAGACTATAACAGGTAATTTGTCCCGGCCACAAGCTGTAGAAGAGTCTAAGCGGGAAATCAATTTAGATACAGAAGCTGGAGTAATACGAATGTCGAGCAATGGATCAACCTGTTTGACGGGTATATCAGGTAAAACGCAACTAGTGGCATCAAGAGATGATATTGATGAAAAGTTCTTGGCAAACAATTCAGCTTTGTCTTTAGGTGAGGTGACAAAGTCTGAACCGTACAAAAGAGGTGGAATTACAGACTTGCCTTTATTATTGATACTATTAAAGATTCTCCAGAAGTCACGAGAACCTATTTTTTGTGATGAAATACGAGATTTCATGATCTGAGAATAGCGGATTTTGGCGTTAGACAAAACTTTTTTACAATGGTTCCTTGGTTAATAAAGAGACGTCTGTTTTCTGGAGAATTGTTTTGCTGATAGATATGGAAGTAATGGTTTCGATTGGCAATTGCAGCAGCACAATGTGAAGAAAACCATAGAGAAAAGTGAGGCTTGACCTGGAATCGTCGAGAGGGAATAAAGGATTCCATGCCAGCCTGAATCCACAAAGTAATGTAAAAAGCACATTTGTCAACAGGGAGACGAAAGATTTCTACCCAGGGGCCATCACGAAGAAAGTCACGAAAAGAATCCCAGTCAGCTTTAAGGTAGTTGTAAGATGTACGATGATAGGGGATTCTAATGGTAAAGAAGAATGAGATAATAGTTTTAGAGAAACCAAACCATGATCAGACGCACCTAAGAGTGAGTGTGAAGAAACTGAACACTGACTAGGATCAGAAACAAGACATAAGTCGAGTAGAGAAGGTAAATGATTCGGGTTGTCTGGAAAGCGAGTTGGAAAGTTGACTATTTGAGTTAGGGATTGAGAAAGACAAAAGTTGTAGGCCTTAATGCCTGCAGAGTCACTGACACTAGAGCCAAGCCATTCAGTGTGATGAACATTAAAGTCACTGACAACAACAATATTGGCTGATGGATAAAGAATGAGGGCTTGGTCAATATAATCAGAAATAGCATCAAGAAGAGTGCAGTCTTGGGATGAGGGAGAGCGATATAGAACAAAGAGAAAGGTGAAAGAGTGAAGTGGTGCTAAACGAAAGCACATAAAAGAGTAGTCTGTGGTTCAACCCTAGTTTCCCGACAAATGGGTGAATTCTTACGAATGTAAATGCCCAGGCCAAGCATGTGACTATTGGAGTCTTTACGAATTAGAGGAAGATAACCATCAACACTAAGATCACAAGATGAAACAGCTGAACTCAAATTAGTCTCACAAAGAGCAAGTAGGTCTGGTGAACTTTGCAAGAGATAAGACTCAACAGAAGAAAAGTTACTTCGAAGACCACGAATATTGGTGAATGATAGGTTTAGCGAACTTGGTGATGACTGTGGTTTTTTGTGTTTTATAGTTTTTGTTACTTTATTCATTTTTAAATTTGTTAAAGAACTTGACTCGAAACATTGATAGTACTCAGTACACTGTTCTATAGCTCAAGCAATTGCCTCATTTCCACTAATAAACTCTAAGCCGTAACAAAGGGTTCCAATGTGGCCTTGGCAATGCACATCAAAAGTACAAACAGGGACACCATCCATGTGCAACATGGCACTGTTAGTACTCTGATATTTTTTAGCTGTTGATGGAATCAGCCATTCTGAGAGCTACCACAGAGTTCGGAAAATCTGACTACCAGCCGGCCTCAGAACCATAAAACTGAGTTTTAGAGCTGTACCCTCATTTGGAGATAATAGAATGAGTTGCCTAGTCATAAAAACAGAGACACAAGCAAAACCCATGAATCGAGTCAAGAAGATCCAGCGTTCAACATCCTAAACTGGAAACAATGTGTTAAAAATACATCTGCGCCAGCCTAATAGATGACGAAGGGGTGCGAGGCTGGTCAACAGATAGAATCTGTTTACCCCTTAAGTCTTTGCCTAGGAGGCCTTCTACAAGACAGCAGCCGGATGCATATAACATCTGCCCAAGATGAGTATTTTTATCGAGACACCATCTCTAGCATTTTCTCAACCAAGAGCCCCAAGGCAGGGGGTGTTTTATGTCGGAGTTTGCATCTCCTAGCCTTTGCCTTAAAAGGCATGTCCTACAAGGCAGCAGGACATGAAGCAGATTGTACTGGGCTACATGTTGCCAGTAGCAGGATAAACCTGACCTGACTTAATTTAATTTAAAGACTAAAAAATATAGTTGTACTTAATATATAATTATACTTAACATAATCATAATAGATATTAATCCCATTGTAAGGGCTTCGTGATAAGATCATTACGATCTTCTTGAAGTCCGGCCCGTACTAATTAGTTTTAAATTTCACTATGTATTTTGACTCACGTGACTTGTAAATATTACACCTTAAATTTACGAAACTTATAAATGTTATATGTACGGCAAATATATTAGAATATATAAGAAGTTTGAAGCTCATGAAAAAGTAATAAAGAAACCTACTATTGTCACACAAGTTTAAGCAATTGAAACAAACAGTAACTCTTGATAGAAAAAAAAAACTCTTAATAGATCATTGACAAAAAATCACGTTTGTCAATGCCTGACTATTCCACTAGTATCCGAGTGGAAAACGTTAAAACGACAACAATTTGTTAACTAAATATTCAGAATACAGCATTTTATATCGAGGTTCAAAAGTATGGAATATTTTTCAAAAAGGGTTCAAAGGTACGGTGAGTTTGTTAAGTTCATTCAAATTTTTAACAAAAAAAGAAATCTTTAAAACCTGTGAAACATTATTTGTTAATATTTTTCTTTGGATAAATTTTCTTAA